ATGGATAAACAGTAGACTTATAAATATGTAACATCTAGTACTACAAAGTTTTTCATTTTTCACACCCTTAATTCACTGGTGAATATCAGTCATATAGTGATCAATGAAAAGTGCTTATGGCCACAACAGCTGAAACACCAGTTATTGTACAATCACCAAAGTTAAGCAATGTGGAGTTTGGTCAGTACCTAGATGGGTGACTGCTTATTAATACTAGGTGCTGTAAGCTCGTGCAGATAGTGTAATGGATAAAGGCTCAGAATTTTTAAACAGAGAACTGAGTTTCAATTCTATTTAGGATTGTTATATTCACTTACACACAAATACCCCTGGGAAAACTATGAATACACATCTACTTATCCCAGCTAGGGCTAATTAGTAAGACTTGTATCACTAAAAACTATTATTCTACAAAATATTTAGATTTAAGCATTAAAAAATCCATAGATGTTGATATGTCACTAAACAAAAACAACCAACAATGAAAATTTCAGATCATTGTTCATCTAATAACTATATTTTGAACTATTAATATGACAGAAAGAAAGATAGCCCAACAAACTAGTACCTGAAAAATGGAAAAAACACTTATTTTGCCAAACAAATATTTATTTTTAAGCATAACCTCTTTCTTTGTTAAGGCACTTAATTCAATGGTGAATATCAAACATACAGTCTGAAGTTTTGGGATAAGGAGTTATCATCAATTACACTATTTAACAAGCAGACCATTGTATTTCTAGTATTGATGGAGACAACATCAAAGATAAGGACAATAGGCCATTTGTAAATAGTGTAAATAATACAGATTGATCAATAAAAATTTCAGATCAATACTCAGATAACAGACAGATAGATAGAAAGACATTATAACCTGCAGTTATGTTTATATCACACCCCCACTCATATATATATATATATAATTCCATCAATAAGAACATTATTTCAGCCTGATGAAGTCCTTTTAGAGGACAAAATGTTACTGAATTTTTCCATTTTGTTATTCAATTATCTAAAATAGATAGATGAATAGCTTAATGTAGAAAAGGCATTTATTTTACAAGAGAACTATTTATATTTAAGCATAATCCACTCCCTTGTTAATGCACTTAATTCAGTGGTGAACAATAATCATAGCGATCAAACAATATACAATTAAAATTTCAGATCATAATCTCTATCTATAAAAGGCGGGATGTGTGTGTGTGAGTGTAATGAATGCACGGCTGCAATTTTCGACGGATTTGCACCAAAATTTACATGCACATGCTCCAAGTTAGCGGGAAGGCCAAGACTGACTTTGCATTTCCCAACGCTCATCAATAGTGGGAATAATCGATTTTTTTCATGCTTCTACAGCAGTTTTCATGTAGTTTGCAGCCATTTTGTACTATAGCTGGCTGCCACAAATAGGCAGGAAGATTCTATTGGCCAGCGTGAGAGCCAACAGCTGACTGACATGAATGTTAACTAGCATGCTAGCATGCAAAAAAAATCGATAGTTGCATTCATCACAAGTGGGAAAAATTTAAATCTGCATGGTACTTTACTCAATTGGCTCAATCGCTTGCTTAAACTCAACGTTGATTCTGATTCCGCAGAACTGGGTTGGATGTGAAAAAGTATTTGTTATTAACATTCTTTTTTCATTTGGTTTTTCCAGTTATGAGTCCTTTTTTAAAGCTGATTGTTTTGTGTTCATTTTGTTTAGTTCTTTTTTCGTAACAGATTTAATGTTTAGTATAGAGCTTAGAAAAAATTTGCAGTGTGAGATAGGCAAGAAGTAAGGCATGTAGCAACATCAGCACGGCAAAGGGCACTCCTTTAAAGGCAAGGAAGGGCAAAAATATTTTAATTCAAGTGATAGCAATTACTGTATGAGTCGTACGATTTTTGAATCAAGCACAGGCAACACCGGGCCATGCTGCTAGTTAGTTGTATAACTACATGTGAGATTGCAGATTTATTAATCCATTTGCATGTACCAGTTAATTCCAGCTAAACCAGTCAGAGGTATGTGTTTGTTTGGATATTTTCTAGAACAGGTGAGGAAATCATCAAAATTATAATGCCTTTTAAATGAATCTTGAAGGTGGGAAAATAAAGGTTTGATCATTAAAAAAGAAGAAGTAGATGGAAAGGATCAAAGACAAAGCAAATATATGGAATGCAAAAAGTCACAAACAAACAAGGAATTGGTAACAAAGTAGAAAAGAAGGAAGTAAAAGACAGGTTGGAAGAATACTGAGCTGTTATGTGACATTTGTTCTTCTTTACAGCAGCGAATGTTAGACGATTTCCTCAAGGATGAAGAAGAGACTTGAGGCAACAGAGATGTGCTTCTACAGAAAGTTACTAAGAATAACATGGACTTAGTGTGTGAGCAACGATGAGGTTTTAAAGAGGTTGCAAACAAGGAGGAGGTTTATACTTAATATCAGGAAGAGGCAGCTGAAGTTTCTGAGACAAATAATGAGGAAGGAGGGCCTGGAGAATCTGATACTCATGGGTCAAATAAAGGGAAGGAGAGACAGGGAAAACAATTTATGACATACCTGGTGGGCGTAAGCAAGTGGATGTTAGAAGATGGTCTGGGGAAGGAAGAAGAGGGAAGGAATTTGTTGAGAGCTGTAAGGGATAGAGGAGGTGGAGAGCCATGATCACCTACGTCCTGAAAGGACATGGCATATAAAAAGAAAGAAAAAAGAAAGAATGAGAAAGAGTGGAACAGAAAATGTTTATGAGAGAACGTAAAGCTGAGACATAATTTGGATTGTAGAAGGTTGCTTACAGTATGTAATGTTCATAAGCAGACCGTCATCTAAAGACTGAGAATAGGCAAAGACTAAAAGTGCTTGAATTTAGAGGAAATAAGAAAGAAAATTGTGGAAGAAAAAAAAGAAATAAAGAAAGGCAATGAATGAAAAGATGAAAGAGAAAGTGAAAGAGAAAATGAAGGAAGAAAAAGAAGAAATAGAGAAAGGGGAAGAGAGGAAGTGAAGTAGAAAATAGGAGAAGGGAAAGATGAAAGAAAAGTGTAGAAAAGAAGAGAGAGAAATTGAAGAAGACAATTGTCTAAAGGAAAGAAGAAAAAAGAAAGTTGTTGAATTGAAAAAATGGGAGGGAAAAATAAAGAAGAAAATTGTAGAAAGAAAAGAAGAAATAGAAAAAGGTATAGAGGGAAAGTGAGAAGGAAAATTGAAGGAATATGTCAGTAGTAAAGGAGAAAAAACACAAGGCTGATCAATGAAAAGATGAGAGATAAACTGAAGAATATTAATAAGTTGATTCTCAGAAACAAGCCACACAGATAATGCTAAAAGATTTTAGAGAATTCTCTCCAGTTTCTTCCCCGCTGAGCAAAAAATCCATTCTGACCTGATATATGCTGCTACTTTCAATTTTCTAACTCTCCAGCAATATTCCCTGTCTATCATTTATCCATCTTCACAAGGAGAATAATGTGAATCTTTCTCTCTGAAGATATGGTCTGACATACCAGACTTTCCAAATTCCCCTTTAGTTTATTTCTCAAGTCTGACTTTAAAGGAACAACCATTTTCCACATTGAATTCCTTTCCACATTTTCATCGCCTAATATAAATGTAATGTTTTGTTATCCTGGCTTGAACAAGAAAGTTGCTATTGAAATCCATCCCAATATTGTAATGTCTGGAAATTCTTTGAATTTGTTCAGCACCTTCACATATATGTTATGCTTACTGTAGACAAATAATTGTCTCTGGAAGTTTCTGAGACATGAAGATAAAAAGAATTCAAAGAGAAGAACAAGGATAAAAAATATTAGATGAAGAACAGAAAGACTGAAATTAATGAAAATAAAAGAAAATGAAGGAAGATGGACCAAATGAAAAGGGAAATGAAAAATGGAATGAATGAAAAGAAAAAGAAAATGTGAAGAAAGAAAAGAAGATGAAAACGAAAAAATGAATGAAAAAGTGGAATGAATGAAAATAAAATAAAATGAGATGAGACATATAAGGAGGGAATGATAAAAAATGAGAGAAGAGATGAATGATGAGAAAGATGAATGAAAAATGGAATGAATAAAAATAAAATTAAGGAGACACAAATGAAGAGAAAGAAAATTTGAAAATGAAGAAAATCAAAGTGAATGAAAATAAAAGAAAATGAAGGAAGATATAAATGAAGAGAATCAAACTGAAAGAAAAATGAAATGAGTGAAAATAAAAAATAAGGGAAAAGACAAATGAAAGGAAGGAAAATGATGAAAGAAAAATTGAATGAACAAAAATGATGACACAAAACTAAAGGAAAAAAGGAAAATGATGAAGAAAAAATGGAATGAATGAAAATAATAGAAAATGTGGGAAGAGATAAATGAAGAGAAAACAGAAAAATGGTGAAGGAAAAATGGAATGAATGAAATTAAAACAAAGTAAAGAATGAAACAAATGAAGAGGAGAAAAATGATGATAAAAGATGAGAATCCAAAGTAAAGAAAAGGAATTAAATAAATTTTTAAAAAAATGAAAAAAAAGAAGATAATAAGAGAAGAAAAAAGAATGAGAAGACGAGGTAAAACTAAGGATGAGATATGGACAAAAAAAGTAACGAAAACAATGATAAAATGAATGAATGACAAAAAAATAAAATAAATCCAGTCGAGAAAGAATAAAGAAAAGAATTTTAACAAGGAGTGATAAAAGAACAAATTGTCATGCTTAATAGGTTTTTTTTTTTATGTTATTATTTTATCTGTTTTTTCTACATTTTTTATTAGGCTGTGTGGGTTTGACCAGCTGGCTGGTTTGCCGGCTGTCTGTCTGTCTATCTGGTTAAAGGGATAGCTTGACTGATGGCTGAATGTTAAAAGAAGCCAATCGGAACGGTTCCAACCATTTTTATTGCAATGCATAATAGAGCTTATCAGTTTTCCTTTTATTATTTTCTCAAAGTTATTTTTTTTATTTTGTTTCTCGTTGTTTTCTCATCTGATTTTGTTTCATGACAGCATAATGTATGCATATATAGATGTCTCTTCTTCATATCTCACTTATTCTTTATTTGTTTTTCACTCAATTTCGTTTTTTTTTTGGTTTTATTGTTTTTCTTATTACTTTTCACTTACATCCACTCATTCTTTCTTACTTCTAACTTAATTTAGATACCGAATTCCTGTTTTCTTTTTTCCTTACCCTTTCTCTATTCCTAATAAGTTATCTTTCTTCATCACTGCTTATCTGTGTTTTCTCTCTCACCCTCTCTCTATTTTCCATTATGTCACATTCATTGTATTTATAGCCTGTTTTTATATTTCTAATCTCTTTCTCTTTCCTCATTTTCTCTCCCTGTTTTTTCTCTCTCACCCTCCCTCTGTTCTTCCATTGCATCACTCATTTTTTATAGCCTCTTTTTATATTTCTATTTTTTTAGTAATTTTCTTCTTTCTTGTCATCACCAAATCTCTTTCTCTTTCCTGTCTTTCAGTGCCTCTCTTTATCATAACCTAAAATCTGTTTCGTTCCTTTCCCCTTCTTTCTTTTCTCTTGTAATTCCCTTATCTCTCTTCCTTGTCATTCTCATTTTATCTATCAACTTATCTATCTTATTATATATAGTTTTCCTCTTTTGCCTCATTTTATCTATATAACCATTACCTCAGCTCTCTCAACAGCCACTCTCACATTTTACCTATCTATCTATCTATCTATCTATCTATCTATCTATCTATCTATCTATCTCAATAGCTTCATGTTACTTTATCATGTTTGTTTGTCAATATTCCCTTATTCCAATGTCCATTTCTATACTGACTACTATATGGTGCTTTTTCTTGCTAATATACCTATCTTTTATTTTCCCTTAATTTTTTCTTCTTCCTCTACCATTATCCTCTATTATTTCTTTTTTCTTCCTCCATCTTCTTATCTCTTATTTCTTCATTTTCTTCCTTCTTCTTCTTATCCCATTCGCCTCCATTATTTCTTTTGCTTTTCTTTCTTTCTTCATCTTTTGGTCTCATCCTCCTCCATTATTACTTCTTTTTTTTATTTCACCATTTTCTTGTCTCATCCTACTTCTTTTTTTTCCTTTTTTCACCACATTTTCTTGTCTCATCCTCCTCCATTATTTCATCTTTTTTCCTCCATCTTCTTGACTCATCCTTCTTCATTATTTCTTTTTTCTTTGTCTTCTTTCTTCCTTCATCTTCTTTTTTCCTCCTTCTCCATTATTTCTTCTTTATTTCTTCCTCCATCTTCTTGTCTCATCCTCCTCCATTATTTCTTCTTTTTTCCTCCATCTTCTTGACTCATCCTCTTTCATTATTTCTTTTTTTTCTTTGTCTTTTTTTTCTTCCTCCATCTTCTTGTCTTATCCTCCTCCATTATTTCTTCTTTTTTCCTCCATCTTCTTGACTCATCCTTCTTCATTATTTCTTTTTTCTTTGTCTTCTTTCTTCCTCCATCTTCTTGTCTTATCCTCCTCCATTATTTCTTCTTTTTTCCTCCATCTTCTTGACTCATCCTCTTTCATTATTTCTTTTTTCTTTGTCTTTTTTCTTCCTCCATCTTCTTGTCTTATCCTCCTCCATTATTTCTTCTTTTTTCCTCCATCTTCTTGACTCATCCTTCTTCACTATTTCTTTTTTCTTTGTCTTCTTTCTTCCTTCATCTTCTTTTTTCCTCCTTCTCCATTATTTCTTCTTTATTTCTTCCTCCATCTTCTTGTCACATCCTCTTTCATTATTTCTTCTTTTTTCCTCCATCTTCTTGACTCATCCTCTTTCATTATTTCTTTTTTCTTTGTCTTTTTTCTTCCTCCATCTTCTTGTCTTATCCTCCTCCATTATTTCTTCTTTTTTCCCCCATCTTCTTGACTCATCCTTCTTCACTATTTCTTTTTTCTTTGTCTTCTTTCTTCCTTCATCTTCTTTTTTCCTCCTTCTCCATTATTTCTTCTTTATTTCTTCCTCCATCTTCTTGTCTCATCCTCCTCCATTATTTCTTCTTTTTTCCTCCATCTTCTTGACTCATCCTCTTTCATTATTTCTTTTTTCTTTGTCTTTTTTCTTCCTCCATCTTCTTGTCTTATCCTCCTCCATTATTTCTTCTTTTTTCCTCCATCTTCTTGACTCATCCTCTTTCATTATTTCTTTTTTCTTTGTCTTTTTTCTTCCTCCATCTTCTTGTCTTATCCTCCTCCATTATTTCTTCTTTTTTCCTCCATCTTCTTGACTCATCCTCTTTCATTATTTCTTTTTTCTTTGTCTTTTTTCTTCCTCCATCTTCTTGTCTTATCCTCCTCCATTATTTCTTCTTTTTTCCTCCATCTTCTTGACTCATCCTCTTTCATTATTTCTTTTTTCTTCTTCTTTCTTCCTCCATCTTCTTGTCTTATCCTCCTCCATTATTTCTTCTTTTTTTCTCTATCTTCTTGTTTCATCCTTCTCCATTATTTCTTTATTACTTCCTCCATCTTCTTGTCTTATCCTCTTCCATTATTTCTTTTTTTACTCTATCTTTTTATTAAATAATTACTTCTTTTTTTGTTCCTCCTCCTTAACTTTTAACTCTTTCTTCTCATCTCCTTTTACTGTACTTATTTAATTTTATGTTTTTTCTTTATTTCTTGTCTATATACTCTCAAGCCCATCCTCCTCTGGGCAATTATTTTTTTAAAATATTTCCACCCAGGACATTCTTATTCCACTCTCAATTGCCTTATTAATATTCTTAGAGAGTTCCAAACTGGACAATTCCATAACTTGTTTTCTGAAAATATTCTCTCAGTCTTTATTCTACCAATGTTGCATATTATAGCATTTTCATCTCACCAAGTATTCCAAGCTTCCCTTGTATTTGGCACTTGAGAATATCTATTTATCTAACTCTTGTATATGTGAGCAGCAACCTTTCTTTTATACATGTTTAACTGAATATAACAGATAACGAATATCTTATAATTGTTTTTAAGTTTTTATAATATTTTTACAATTTTCTCTTTTTGAAGTATGATGGGAGTGCAAAAACTGTTTATAATTATTATTGTAACACTTCTTCCAGATATACCAGAGTGACAAGTCTAAATGTAACATTGCTCATAATGAGTGCAAGCAGGTCCTCAAAGAAGTAAAGTCACTGTTTGTTGATATAATGAAACAACACTCTGTGAGTCTCTCACAAGTTTGGTTCTAGAGATTACTAACAGCTCTGCAAATTCTCGGTTTTTCTCCCCTTCAATCAATTTATGGTACTGACATCTACTGTAGATAAGGTAGAGTGCTTTCCTCAAAAGTTCTCTTCCAACTCCACTCTTGACTCATCGGCAGTACTTCAGCCAGTTTCCCCCCCCCTCCACCTAGAACAAAGCCTCTACTGAGTGATATGCACATAATCCCATTACTAGTTTCAGAAATCATTTCTAAATTAGATCCACAAAAGACAGGCAAATGTGAAGTTGATACTTGCTATTGTCTTAAAGGTATGTGCTCATGAGCTGGTTCCTGTTCTCTCCAAACTTTATAACAATTGCCTCACTATTTCCTGCTTTAAAATTTTTTGGAAGTTCTCCTATGTAGTTCTTGTGTTTAAGAATTTTAGAGAACCCTTTGACCTCTTGAAATAATCACCCTATTAGTCTCTTACTGCTTTTCAGCAAAGTAATGAGGGCTCTAATCAATGCCAAAGTGCTAAAATATCTTACTTCACGTGACCTCCTATCAAGCTCTAGATAAGAATGGCAAAGCTCGGACTATGGCTTTAGATATCTCAAAGCTGTCTGATAGGGTTTGGCATGCTGACCTTCTATGCAAGCCCCAGGGATATAGTGTCAGAGGACAAATATTTGGTTTAATCCAATCATTCCTAACAAATCACGAAATGAAGATAATGTTGAACCATGCTCACCTTCAGATATTTTCATACGAATGTGGGTGTCCCCCAGGGTTCTATCTTGAGAGCTACACTGTTTCTGATCTTCAGCAATAAGCTCCCTTATGTTATTAGTTCCCATTTAGGTTTTTATGCAGATGACATTTCCATTTACTTCTGTCTCAGTAGCAAATCCAATAGATTTGACAAAGTAAACTTGACAACTGTGCGTTGTATGTCCAATCAGTGGGGCAAGGAATGGTTTGTAAATTTTAACACCTCCAAAACAAAACTGCTTTCATTTAGCCACCATAGAGAATCTTTCCTGCCTGCCATCAACATGGCTGATGCTAAACTCCAAGAGAACAAAACACTACAACTTCTTGGCTTTATGTTTTCCACTGACAAGAAGTGACTATACTGAATCAATTTCTTCATCTACTGCAAGAAAAGTTGGTTCTCTGTATCATGCCATAAAGTGTTTCTCATCAGAATCCATCTTGATATTCATAAATCTACCATTCATCTGTGCATTGAATATTGTTGCCATATCTGGTCTGGTGCTCCTGCTGCACATCTCAGAATTTTTGAGAAAATCCAAAGGTATCTTGAATTGAGTCACTTTCTCACCAATGTAACAAGACTTCCCTTTATCTTTTCTACAAATATTTTCCTGGCAATTGATCTGACAACTTCTCCCCTGGTGCCTCAACTACATTAATTTAAGTGTGTTACTAGATTGGCAATTAGGTACCATCATTTTACTGTTGAAATAGCTAAATGCAACTGCCGCTGCTACTCCAACAGTTTCTTTACTTGAACTTCTCACCTGTGGAACTCTCTTCTGTTTACTTATTTCCCTGATAACTACAATCTTTAAAAATTTAAATTCAGCATCAATCGCCATCTTCTGTCTTCTTTAATCCTGTGATTTTGCTGTTCTTTCCTCAATCCTACTTATTCTCATTTTTGTTTCATTCTCTTATACTCCTTGTAAACTCCTGCATACTAGTGGCATTACTGCCTTGTTTAGGATGAAATGATTAAACAAAAGTGCTTTTGGCCACTTTATTAGACATTTTCAAGGAGTCCATTATTAAAGTTCTTAATGTTTGTGTTCTAAAATGTATTTGTATGGAAGTAATAATAGTAGAAATGTTAGGTTGTACAAGAGGCTGTGGACATGATTTTATGTTGGTGTGTTTTCTTAGAAAACTCTCAACACGTTACTGCTATTGTTAAATCTACACCTCCTTACTCCTTTCTAAAAGGAAACTTAAGAACATTAGAAAAACAATAAAATTCTTATAAGATTTTCCTTATATATATATATATATATATATATATATATATAGATATAGATAGATAGATAGATAGCTAGATAGATAGATAGATAGATAGATAAAAATGGACATTGAAGTCATTACCCAGAGGCAACTGCCACCTCTGACTTTAATGTATTGTATTGACTTTAATGTCCACTTTTACATTTACATACACTCTATCCCTGATACTGACCACTTTAACTCATAACTATAGCATACCATAAAACCACTAAACAAAGACAAAAGTCCATATAAACTTATGTCTGCAAATCCTTCATTTTTAAGGGATTAAGTTTAAAGAAAGTTTATGGTAGATGGCACTGTGTTGCTATATAGATGAGGTTACATTTTTCATTCATGTACATTTGTACATATCATTAACATTTAATGTATGTAGCAATGAGCTAACATTAGGGTCTTTTACCCTTGGATCACTCACCACTGGAGAACTTTTGTTGATGGTTTATTGTACAAACTGCTGATCTGTTGTTTGTCTTTTCAGTCTTGTTTTGGCAACATTTGGAAGCAATCAAACAACAAATCTACACAATCAACATTTGCAGGCAGATCAGAATCCCCATAGTATAATACAGGCTAGACAACAGCGTCAGTTTACGATTAATATGTATTGTAGTTGACTGTCTGGTAGGTCCATATGTTCACCCAGCACGTCTTACAGGAGCTGTCTACAGGGATTTTATTTCATACACACTTATAGACCTGCTACAGGATGTACCCTGTTAATACAAAGACACGTGTGGTTCATGCCTGATGGGGCTCCAGCACATTTTAGTCACATTGTTCAGAATGCAATGGCTGACATCTACCATGAAAGATGGATAGGTAAGGGAGGACTGCTTCCATGTCCTGCATGTTTCCCCAACTTTAATCCTTTGGAATTAATCTGTGGAGCCACCTAATGCTACTTGTTTATGCATCAGACATTAATAATGCAGAGACACTTCATCAACATGTCATTGGGGCCTGCAAAACCATTTGATACCATGTGGGAATATTTTGTCTTTGTTTTGGTTTGAGGACCTTCCTGCAAAGTTTGTAAAAGTATTTTTGATACATTCTGTATATATATATATATATATATATATATATATAT